GCCCCCCGATGTGTCTTTCAACTGCGAAGTAGTTTACGTTATGGGCTCGCCTTTAGATCAATAATTGTTATCATGCTGGTCTGCAGTGCGGATGACCCTGGCTCAAATTCCCAAACGGGACATTAGTTGAGACACTGAGTTGTTTGGAAGAGTTTTTATGGCCCTTCGCCTACTTAGCGCAGTCTTATCGGAGATGGACTTTAAAATAAGAGGTCTCGCCTCTTGAATAAACTTACAGTGTGAAAGGAGCACTAAAAACAAACAGCAGAAATGACCCATTTACTCGTGCTATTTAAATTTATTAGGGACAATTAATTGTTGATGGTCTTTGGGATATCAGGTGGAGCGCCGGCGACTATGGCTTCGCTGTCGCCTGCAGTAGATAATTTTTAACGAGCAACTCGCTGTTAAATTGGAACCCACAGGGTAAAATATCAAGGGGAAGACCTCGTGGAACTTGGAGAAGAGTCACAGAAATGGTTGTACAGAAAAGTGGGAAGACATGGAATAACATCAAGTGACTAGCCCAGGAATAGGAAAAAGTGGAGAGTGTTTGTTGGTGGCCTATATCCTGACCCAGGGTGAGAAAGGCAATGATGATGATGCTGATGAACCCGCTCAGTGTTCCTGCTGAGATTATGCTGTGTTCCTCTCAGCCCGGCTGGCCTAGATAGGCAGGATCGGAACTACGCCTCCTAAATGATCAAAATTATGTTGATTGGGTCGTAAAAAAGTTTCATTAAAAATCAGATGGAGTCATAGTCATAGTGACGTAATGGATACGTTCTTTGCTGTTGCCAGCTGAAGACTTTAGTTCAACTCCTAAGTGGAGAAGATTTGTGAGACAGCGTGGTGGAATCAAGCTCTCGTCAATTTTTGGGCATGTAGAGTTATTGATATTATCTTAAAGCTTGTTCACTTGTCTTTATTTGGATGAAAAAAATATCCATTTATCTTGAATACAAGTCGAGATATTTGCAAAAGACGGAGGTGGGGGTCACCTGTTTTCAGAGGTAAAACTAGTGAGAAAATGGCCTCCAAAGATTAGGTATTTTCTCAGCTTAAGAGTCCGTAATAACTGAAAATTTACATTTTTGTGTCTTTAATCAACGTTTTTCAGAAAAAATCCTCACAGTAATGAGTTCTTTAATGGGCATGAAAGGTGTTAAGCCAAAAACCAAAAATTTGATAAAAATTCACAAACCCGTGGAAAAATGCAAGTTTCTTCACTTTGATTATTTTGACGAGAGCCTGATTCCAGCACACTGCCTCACATTTCTTTTTTCGAGTATCTCCGTCTGTCTGCGGGGATGGAGTATCCCAAAGAAAAGAGTTTGAGCTGGCTGCAGACGAGACAGAATGAAAGCTGGACCAAATAGTACCGACAGCAGATAGAGAAGTGTAGTAGATTTTTGTATAGCTTCGCATTTGCTATTTTTCGCTGGAGGCTCCGTGGCACTGCACGAAAATGCTTGGACTGAAGACCCGGAAATTCCCCCAAACCTCAAGGGTTCGTCCCCCGATCAGCGCAAAGAAAACAGAAAACAAACAAACAGAAACAGCAGTAGAGCACTCATGAGTCATGACCTGAGTGTGGCCCGCCCCCTTAGGGTGTCAGAAAATAAAGGTCGAAACACTTGCTTGAGGGGGAGGTCTGAAGATTTCCTGCTGTCCGCTCGTCCCACGCATTTTCTCCCACTCCCAATCGTCAGAATTGGCCCTGCCTGTATAAGCCAATCACCTGTGCAAACGGCCACTTCCCATTTGCCTCTACTGCATACTTTTACGTTATAATGAGACCGTGTAAAGCGACCACCAACTGTCTTTCCTCCTCGACAAAGGATGACCGTCTTATGCAGGTACGACCTTTTTGCGAGTAACTCAGTTTTACAATAACAAGACCAAGGTCATTCGATGGGCAGAAGCACACTATGTGATTATTTGCCGACATCATGGAGAGGTCGGGCAGATACAAGAAGATGTACGTTTCTGGTGTTTCAGGACACAGTAGCTTGAGCAGCGTGTTGGAATCAGGCTCTCGTCAAAATAATTAAGTGAAGAAACTGGCATTTTTCACCAGGTTTGTGAATTTTTATCAAATGTTTGTTTTTTGTCTAAACACCTTTCATGCCCATTAAAGAATTAATTTCTGAGTGGATTTTTCTGAAAAATGTTGATTAAAGGCACCAAAAAATGTAAATTTTCAGTAACCACGGACTCTTAAGCTAAGGAAATAGCTAATGTTTGGCGGCCATTTTCTCATTAATTTTACCTCTGAAAACAGGTGACCCCCCACCTCCTTCTTTCGCAAATATCTCGACTTGTATTCTAGATCAATTGATATTTTTAAAATCCAAATAAAGACAAGTGAACAAGCTTTAAGATGATACCAATAACTCTACATGCCCAAAAATTGACGAGAGCCTGATTCCACCACGCTGCCTTACATAATATTATAAACGTTCGAGACTTCGTGGTGAAATCAGACGCTTGTCAAACTTGACTTATTGAGTTTTGGAAAACCACGCTTCTCACGAATGGTCAGTATAGCAATAAAACTATCCTGCAGAAATGCGTAGACATATTTGACCCAAGAGAAATAGGCACGCGGATCAGAACGGAAATACATTAGAATAGCGTGAATGTAACACTTTTCCCTAAAGGGTCGTACAGAAAATGAAGAGTCAGCGACGACAGAGTCTTCAGATTAGAAGTGGGACTTTTGTGCAGTTAGGCGGGAGAATCGTAGCGCTGGGTGTGTGGGAACCAGACGAACAGATGTGTCTCGGAAACAATACAAGGGGCGCCGTGAGCTATAAAACCAGGGGATCAGTCTGTTCCTGAGGCAAGCTTTGACCTGTGAAACGACGACTCCTTTACACTACGCCACCTTCTTTCGAACCACAAAATCCCATCCCACCCGTTACGCCAGGCACCAAACAGCATACATAAAATTGAAAAAAAAACAACAACCCCCAACCCCAAAAAAGCAACAACAAAAAAACAGAAAAAAACAACCAAAATAAAAAAGAAAACTAAAAGAACAGAAGAGAAATGTGAGGCAGCGTGGTGGAATCAGGCTCTTGTCAATATTGGGGTATGTAGAGTTATTGGCATCATCTTAAAGCTTGTTCACTTGTCTTTATTTGAATGAAAAAAATATCAACTTTTGAGTCCAGATATTTGCAAAAGAAGAAGGTGGGGGTCACCTGTTTTCAGAAGTAAAATTAGTTAGAAAATGGCCGCCAAAGATTCGTTTTTTCCTTAGCTTAAGAGTCCGTGGTAACTGAAAATTTACATTTTTTGTGCCTTTATTCAACGTATTTCAGAAAAATCCACACATAAATGAGTTCTTTAATGGGCATGAAAGGTGTTGAGCCCAAGAAACAAAAATTTGATAAAAATTCACAAACGTGCAGAAAAAAAGCAAGTTTCTTCACTTTGATTATTTTGACGAGAGCCTGATTCCACCGCGCCGCCTCACAAATGTAAAGTGTACCAACAAAACAAAAAGGGAATACAATGAAAAAACAAATTACTTGATTCCTTGTTCTCAGGCGAAAGTGCCAAGTTCCTATCTCGGGTGAAACATCTGCAGCAGTCAAATCTTTTTTTGTTGTTGTAACCCAAACATTTCTTGGCTGCACTGAAGTAGCATGTCTGGACCCCCCTCCCCCTCCCAAACCCCTTCCCCACCCCCTCCCCCCCCGCCTTTCAGAGGCTAGATAACTCAGACGCTCAAAGAAAATCAAGGAATGTCGTATAAACGAAATAGATGGATCGTCTGTCGGGTATCTGGTTGAGTACAATCTATAAACTACAGGATTTACAAACAAACGAACAAACAAACCCCAAATTACAACAACCCCCAAATCAAACATCTCCCCAGCGGCTCTCGTGGCCTGGAGGTTAAGGTGTTCACCTCTCATTCAAAGGTCCTGTGTTCGAATCCGGTTAGCGACGCAAACATTTCCTACTCTAAAATTATTTCCTTTCACCTCCTTTCCTGCTCTCTAGCAATATTCTGTCGCCTGCTTTGGTCTCCACTTTCTTCTTTCTCACCCCCACCCCCTCACCTTCTTTGCCCCCTCCTCTGGGCTCCTGACTCTTTCTGCAGCCTTTCTACTGCTTCTCCTTGGCTCCTTTTTGCTGCTGTCTTTCTGCCACACCCCTGATCTTCTGGCAGGAAAGATCTACACCTAGCCTTCTCGGACAAGGGCGAAAAATCTCGGAGGTCCCATTTGCAAGTTGCGCACGTTAAAGATAGCTTGGTGGTCTAAAATCGATAAAAGTAGGCTTCGGCCACCACCTGGTCAAAATTCAATATTTTCTACCAACTGAAAATGTTAGGTGTGTCCTGCGCGCTCATATGACCTTATGCAGAAAGTAAGTAAAGTTACTGTAGAATCTGATTTTTAACTAACACTTTTTTTCGTCTTTTCCCATAGGAACTGAAAGGACGAGGAACAGGCGTCTCTGAATCAACGACAAGTTCATGTTACCACCAGAGAATATTATTTTGTTTTTATTAACTTGAGCGATGCTGCCCTGATACTTCTCACGAACTTGATCACATCGTCATTCCTCTTGTGCTGATGTGAAAGGTGTCCGTGCATAGTGACAAACATACTTTTTTAAACAAATAGCATTCATGCATTATCGTACACACATTTGCACGTACCTACACTAACATACATTCTGACTCGTCCTACCAGTGCACGGGACAATGGAAACTATCCAACCTTTTGGAATTTGTGTAGAAAAACTGCATTTTCTTAATAAATGGATTATAACATGATAGTTTCAAAACTGGATATAAAGAAGTAAAGCGGAAAGAACGAAAAGTCAGACTTCTTGAGGAGCATGGAAAAGACTAAAATAAAACAACTGAGTAGAACTGCAATATAATTAGGTTTCAAGGTGAAAACAATCATTCAATATATTTTAAAATACGTCTTAAAAGAAAAAGAAATACAATAACTAGGCATTGATAGTAGAGTACACATACTAGCCACAATTGAAAAGTAACAGCAGGGACAATTGTAACAACAGAGAACAAATCCAGCAATAACAGGAGCAACACGAACTTCAACGTTATTACCGACACCAACATCACAAGGAACAACAACACTTTAAAGCCATCCCTTTTCCACGCCAGGGATAAAGTGAATACTCAACGTAACAGCTCCAATTCTAACTCACACCTCAGCTCTACGTATACCAGACTAGGTTTGCCATGACCGAAATCTTCACCCCTGGGCCCTACGAGTGCGGCTACCACGACCCCACCACAGACTACTACCGGCCACCGGAAGTTCCTTCGGAGAAGCTGGACTTTTACTGCGCTGTAAGAAACATTTACGGTGTTCTGACGACACTCATAGCGTCTGCCGGTATCCTTGGCAACGTGGTGTCGCTCGTGATTCTGCCAAGGACGGGCGGGGCGAGGAGCGCCATTATCCTGCTCTTTGGATTAGGAGTTTACGATACGGTCTTCTTATTTTCCGGCATCTTCCTTCGGTAAGTTCACGACAACGGTAATGTAGGCACAAAACCGGTGTCTGCATTGTGAAGGTTAAACTGGTACTCGTAGATTTGCTCGTGTATGAAAGAGTTCGTCGATTTTTATAGAGTGTTCTTTTTTTGTTGCTATCATACATTTCCCAACAGCCCAGGCTGGTCCCTTCTACAGGTTTGTTTGAAGCATTTTTTTTTATAGTAGAGGGTTTTACGGCGCTCGCAACTGCATAAGGTAGTTTCCCAATAAAATTAAATGATATTTTGTTTTTGTTTCTGGGGTATAAACACTTTAAATACAAAATAGGACAAAATACGTCGATGGCAAAAAACACGTGGCTAACAACGTGATTCGCTTCTCCTGCCGGTAAAAAAAAACAACTCCCTCTCGCCCCCCTCCCCTTTCCTAGAAACAAAACAAAAAAAAATCTGTAAAAAGTCAACAACAACAACAACAACAACTACAACCCCCCCCCCCCCCCCCCCGCCCCAACAAAACCACAAAGCAAAGAAAACACAGGCAGGAACAGGGAGTTAGGCCAAGGCATATATTTTATAAAAGCTCTATAATCTGGAATAAATGAAGTGGAAGATTATATTGATTTTAATTTTCTAAGTGAAATGAAATGCCTGAAGAGAAGACCAGGATCACCGCGAAAGGGAAAAGCTTCTGACAGAAAAGTCACGCTATAGGTTTGCGAAATACAGGCTCAGAGAACTAGGAAGAGACAAAAAAGACTGACTGTATAATAAAAAAGAAAGTCTTTTGTGATGAAAGAAAAACTACAATAGAGACGAAAACAGTGAGTTAATGGACATTCTTTTTATAGTTCATGTGTATGTCATATTGTTTGTTGGGAGTGTAAGATTTATGATTTGACTTTGGGATGAAAGAGTCACCTTACCACACTTGACACTGACTGTCGTTGTGAGGAATGTGACAAGTGGTCCAGACATAAAGAATGGTCACATGATTGTTTGGTCATATTTTCAAAGGTTAATTTCAAGATCAAAAAGTCTCAAATCCAATAGAAACTATTTTCGGTATCCGCCATCCTTTTTCATCTCCATGGAAACAAAAGCCCTAGAGAAGGATGTGGATTCATAACATTTTGTTTCTTGTTTACTCACCGAGGAGAATTCACTTCTTGTATTATGGGTAGTCTGTCCAATGCTCTAGGCACTTGAAAGGAAATATTGGCCCAAAACTCTACGGGAGCATAGAGAACCTGCGGCGAGCAGCAACCTTTGTACCAGAGACTGGGATGCTCATTTAGAAAAGAAGAAGAAGAAGAAGAAGAAGAAGAAGAAGAAGAAGAAGAAGAAGAAGAAGATGAAGAAGAAGAAGAAGAACAAGAAGAAGAAATACATTTAATTGTCCATCCAGCTTTTATCATCGCTGGTGGCCAGTGTTCCGGTCTCCCCTCCGACTAGATCTATAACTTGTCGTTTTCTATGGTGCCCCCCTCTCTCTCCCTCCCTCTCTCTCTCTCTCTCTCTCTCTCTCTCTCTCTCTCTCTCTCTCTCTCTCCCTCTCTCTCTTCCTCTCTCGCTCTCTCAAAAAAGAAAAGAAAATAAAAGGAATATGTGAGGCAGCGTGGTGGAACCAGGCTCTCGTCAATATTGGGGCATGTAGACATATTAGTATCATCTTAAAGCTTGTTCACTTGTCTTTAATTTGGATGAAAAAAACATCCATTTATCTTGAATACAAGTCGAGATATTTGAGAATGAAGGAGCTGGGGGGGTCACCTGTTTTCAGAGGTATATTAATGAGAAAATGGCAGCCAAAGATTTGTTATTTCCTTAGCTTTAGAGCCGGTGGTAACTGAAAATTTACATTTTTTTGTGCCTTTAATTAACATTTTTCAGAAAAATCCACACAGAAATGAGTTTTTTAATGGGCATGAAATGTGTTGAGGAAAAAACCCAAAAATTTGGTGAAAATTCAAAAACCTGCGGAAAAATGCAAGTTTCTTCACTTTGATTATTTTGACGAGAGCCTGATTCCACCACGATGCCTCACACATAATAAAATGATAAATAAGCAGAAACTTTAAAACGATCTTAGAGTTGACAGACACGATTATTAGTTTACAATCGTTGCCGTAATTTTTCAAATAGTCTACATCATTAGAAAACTACACCATTTGTTATGATATGTTTTTTGACTTTTGAAATTATACCTGTTTTTGCCATTTTCGACCACTCGCGTTTTCTGCCAGCCCTTACAGTTGAAATCCACTTCATGGGAGGAATTAACATTAAATATTTGTACATCGAACAAGACTCGTTTGCTCTGTTGTTTTCACTTTCAAAAAATTATAATTTTATATTTAGATAATAAAAGTATATTTACATATGTGCAAAGATGCAAGTGCTTTACAACACAACGCTTATTTCTGAAATAAATAAAACGGAGAGTATATAACGTCTTCCCCCTTGTACAGCGTTTTGGACTGACTGATATCAACACGTTTTGTTCTGCGCTCTGGACTTTTCGCTCATAGACACAGTTCGCCTTATTAACTGACGACCAAACTTTTATTTGGATGCCTCTTTTAATGAGTCTTCTGAGGAGGAAAGCGATGATTGCTGCAGCCCCCCCCCCCCCCCCCCCACCCACCCCCCCCCCACCCCCCCCCCCCCCCCCCACCCACCACACCCCTCTCTCCTTTCTTCCCTGAGAGACGAGAACCATGAACTGACATCGACCTTGGATCCAGGGCTAAGAAGCCAGAGGTAAGCTCCTTTGCTTACTGAGTACTAAATCTTACATCAGTCACTTCTCATGACTGCTTTGCTACATTTTTCACACTAAATAACTGCAAATAGTATTTATTTGTTCTTTTGAAACAGTATGCAACTGTTGCTACAGACATTAATCTGTTGTTTACTAGTTTACATGTTACCAGGCTAACAGTTCGCAGCTTATTTTATGCCACTTTAGCCACGCTGCTCTAAGTGCAGGCTTGGGTTATTTGTACATACAAATCTGTGCAACTGTAGTTTCACGTGATTTTATCTATCATACACAACATTGTTTATTCTTATTTGTTCACATCTATCCTTAAAGGCTAGGAGAATAATCGTATGGTGACCACGACAATGTCCGGACATGGTTTGGGCGCGGGTACACACCAGTACAAGGACGCTGTCTGTCATAAGACTGGACAAAATCTGAAACTTTCAAGTATCTAAGGCCAGGTAACAACTATTGTCCTTTACTTATCCATGTTTTTACTTACAATGCCTGGTCGCTACAGCTTGAGCTTTGCCTCTCTATGATCTCTGATGGTATTAGACAATGGTCTGCATTGACCAACATAGATAGAGAAAAGAACTGATCTTTTGTTGACAATCTAGTAGTGTTTGGTAATAGTAATGAATTGTGTTTAATTTTGTGCTTGGCTTAGAATTATTACATTTTCTCGAGTCATTATTTTAAAATACTATGTTCATTTCAATACAAATGGTCCTGTTACAAACAACAACAACAACAAAAACAAAAAAAAACAAACTCCCCCAAAACAAACAATCAAACAAAAACAACAACAAACAAAAAACAACAAACAAAAACAAAACAAAAATCTCTAAACAAAAACCACAACAACCATTTTTAAAAAGACCTAACGTTGACTCATTCTGACCCTTCCCCCTCCCCCCTCCCCCGACCCACATTCCTCTTGGCCTATGTCTATACTCTAGGTACACTCTTCACAATATTTGTCACACTGGAGCTGGTAGAGCAGACCTGCCAGTTCACCTTTGTCTACGCAGACGACATGATGGCGTTGGAATCATCATTTGCAAGGAACAAAAATCGCTCACATCAGATGTTTTAAAAATGTGAGGCAGCGTGGTGGAATCAGGCTCTCGTCAATTTTTGGGATTGTAGAGTTATTGGTATCATCTTAAAGATTGTTCACTTGTCTTTATTTGGAAGAGAAAAATATCCATTTATCATGAATACATCGAGATATTTGCGAATGAAGGAGGTGGAGGTCACCTGTTTTCAGAGGTAAAATTAGTGAGAAAATGGCCGCCAAAGATTAGTTAATTTCCTTAGCTTAGGAGTCCGTGGTAACTGAAAATTTACATTTTTTGTGCCTTTAATCAACTTTTTAAAGAAAAATCAAAACAGAAATGAGTTCTTTAATGGGCATGAAAGGTGATGAGCCAAAAAACAAAAATTTGATAAAAATTCACAAACCTGGTGAAAAATGCAAGTTTCTTCACTTTGATTATTTTGACGAGAGCCTGATTCCACCACGCTGCCTCACAAATATTTTCATGGCTGTTTTGTTTAATTTTAGTATTGTTAGATTCGTTCCAACCGAAGAACAATGTTCCACTAAACATCTATGTCAAGGCCTTTGGGATAAGGTTTTGACGTATACATTAAAGTACGAAGGAAGTCAGTGATTTCTAAAAGTGTCGAGTTTTCACAGTGAAAATAAGGCAGATAAAGTAACCAAACCCAGGTTCCTCTCAGGGTGCATTAGACATAAGTGCAGAGAATTTCCGGCTGCCACATGAATGATGGATCAGTATAGATCAAAGAATGGAAGCGAATAATTACATACAGGTATAATTTCAGGCAGTAGGGCTATACAACAGATAAAATCGGGAATAAAACTGTGAGTGATAGCTGAATCTATTACAGGGTACACTAATTTCGAAGTTTACCCTGGAAAGGTGGACAAACTTTGTAAACCCAGGTTTAGAATGGGATATCAATTTTATTGTTTATAGATAACATTTACACTTCCCTGCTTCTCTTTGGGAGTGGGATGTAACTTGATCAGATCAGTTCAGATCATAGAAGAATACAAATCGACAGGTAAGAGGACAACTAGAGCCGTTTTTCTCAAAACTTTGTTTCCGTACCCTGCCTAACAAAATCGTCCATATCTTAAAAACTACTGAAGATATCTTAAACATTTAAAAGTATATTGTTCAGAAATGAATTCTGTACAAGAAAATGCCAAAAAACGGGATTT